CACATATTGAAGATGAAGTGAAGACTTTTAAGATTTACCTAATACACCCTTCAAAAACAAAACACTTCTAGATAAACAAAAACGGAGATAAACCAAGACAACAATCCCCTTGCAGCCCATCTTTGACCAGACTAGATGTGGTACAGGAAACTCAGTATGCAAAAATTTGGCCCTTGATATTGATGCTCCCGTCAATTCATCTCTAGTTTATTCCTTCAAAGAAAAATGTCAGAAAGGCTGAGAGGAACAAACATGAGCTCAGGCAGGCTGGACTGGCTCTGCTGACCACTCCTGCAGCAGAGGCGGCATGGTATTCTCCTCTCAAGGGATCAGCAGCTGGTGGCGGCAGGTGAGGTGGGACAGAAACGGGGTTTCACTTGCATGCCCTTCCCTTGTGATCCTTCAGGTAAGAGGGAGCCACTTAAGCACACCCACTCTTGCTGTAAGTTGTCAGGCATCCGAGCCAATCTACAAGACGACACTGGATTTCAGTGCACTCCAAAAAGGATGATGCAACTGAAGTGAAAGAGGCAATGTCTTCCTGTCCAGGCAAATTGCAAAAAACCCAGTACTGCAGTGAGCTGGGCTGAAGGTCTTTTCTAGAAGAGACTCATAACTAACGTCATTTTGGAGGCAGGCAGCTCCTTCTCTTGTGGTGTTGAGTCACTGAGTTCCTTCTGGCTCAATGTCTGACTGCTGCTTTTCGTATCATCGGACTGCTCATCTCCACAGAGCAGTTTGAAGAAATACCAGGGCAAAGTCAACAAAGCACCTCCTTACTAGGAGATCCTCAGTGGAAATTTGTCATTCAACCAACTTGGGTCTCAGAAGAGCACAGAGGTACAGGGCTGTTCCCCCCAACCCCCAGACCTGTGAGGACAAGAACGACCAGCTCCTGCTGTAGACCCCAGAGGCATGGCATTGTTTGCTCCCCCGCTCAGAAGCTGAGAGAGAAGCTTGACACTCAGCACTGCCGCCTGGAGTTGGGGTTTGTCCTCAAGAAGAGGTTTCATGTTCCACAGGAAATAGTGCAGTGCAGCCCATGGTGTTAACACCACACAACATCTGTGAACTTAGCTTTCACCTTTGGACAAAACAAAGTGAAACACTGTCCAAAGTAGAACAAAGACCACCCTGGGACGCAATAACTAGGCCACCTTCCAAGGGCCAGCCCGAAGACTGGGAAAGGTGGTGTTGATCAAATCTGACTTTGAGAGAAAACCCTCCTCCTTGGAAATGGCAGTTCTCCCTAAAAGATTCCTGTATGGATCATGGGTCACCCCTATGAAAAGCAACACCCCCTCACCAAGGTTAGGGTTTTCCCTTTCTTCTTTTTCCCTCCACTTCTTCCTTCTTAAATATTGTGGTAGAGTTAGCCTACATTATATCAACTTCAGATGTACAGCTCACTATACATGCATGATTTTTTCTCATGAAGAGAACTTCAAGGTTTCTCCTCTTAGCAACTCTCAAGTGTTCAATACAGCATTGGTAGAATTACCATGCTGTACACCATATTCTTATATAACTGGAAGTTTATACTTTGGGATTTTCTGCAGCCATTTTAACGACCCTTTGCTCCCTACCTCTGGCAAGATACCCATCTATTGTCTGTATCTATGAGCTTTTAAGTTGTAGATTCCACATAAGTGATATCATACTGTATTTGCCTTTGACTTCAGAGTATAATGCTCTCAAGGTCCGTTTACTTGGCTGCAAATGGCAAGATTCCATTTGTCATGCCTTCAATAGTTTTTCTCTGTGTGAATGTGCAAGCATGTATTTATTATATCTTCATTCATCTGCCAATGAACACTTTGGCTACTTTCATATCTTGGCTATTGTAATAACGCTACAATGAATATGAATATAAACCAGGTCTGGACAACATTTCATATCATCAAATCCCACGAAACAGGATGTTGTTGGAACCTTCCTTGGTACAGAAGTCCCTTCCTATCTGTTTGTTGATAAAAGGCTGTAGTCTCCTAGGCCTTCCCAGTGTTTCAGAAAGCAGACTCAAGCAGTTATAATTAGAGACATGAGACTGCAGGGGGGAAAAAAAGGTAGGTAGCTTATCCTTTAAGGATAAATATTCACTTTCTGTGTCAGTCATAACTTTTTGCAAAAAAATTAGTCATCTTGTAGGACCCAACACTTTCCTTTTCCCTTGAATACTTAGTTTCACCTGAATCTATAGCTCCCAAATTGCAATTCCTAGACCCAAATAAAGCTTTCTTCTGTGTAACCTTGACCCTGATTATTCTTAGACACAATGTGGTATCAGAAGAAGCCAGAGTGGCTTACCCCTATCTCCAGCACTGCTGCAGATACAAGTATGGTGTCCAAGAGGGCCCTTTATCATCATCTCCTTACAAGACAGTATTATAGTTGAATTGCATTATAGTAGTAGTAGCGTAGGTTATTGGAAGTCAGTCCACTCGACATGGGTAAAGCCTCCCACATTGGTCATGGTTCTAAGCCTTTATTTGGGTGTCTGCTCTTGCTGGCTTTATCTGGAAAGGGAAACCTTCACCTTGGTGGTGAGTTTGGAGAGTTTGGTTTCTGCAGGAACTCCTGATGGGCAGCTGCTGTCCAGGACTATGGCTCATTTTATGTTTAAAACTTAAAGGCCCTCCTCTTAATTTGTTGCTTTGGACTAAAACCCATGACAACATGAAACTCTGTTGGCCCACTTGCAGCTCATTTGTGATTCCTGAGTTTATTTGCATGCTTGACTGGAGAAAGGGTGTAGAACAAGATGAGAATGCAAAGCATATTTCAACTGGTATTTTGAGGTCTCCAAGCATCATGGTGAATCCACTATTGCTTCCCTCAGAAACTCAGTTTTCTCAAAGGATTTCCAAATTGGAAAAATCCTCTAGGGCTCCTTGAGAGCACTCCCTCCCTGGTTTCCCCTGCTCCCTGTCCTGTTCCTCTCAACATCCACTACAAGGCCCTCTTTGTTGCCCACCCCTCTGAACCTCCTACTAGAACACTGACGCGACCCCCTCCCCAACACACACACACAGAAGGCTAACCATACTTTCTTTCCTGTAACTACTAGCCACTTATAAATCCAGGTTCAGCAGAGACAGGTTGTATTCTCTTGGACTAAGGCAGAATTACATGCACAGCTAAGGACTTTCCCAACGTGAAAAGATTCCACTGAGTTTGCCGGATAATTTGACCTCTTCACTAAAGTACCAGCTTGACTACTCAGATTTCTATCATTAGACAGAACACCTCACACACACAAGCAGATGCATTAAAGGAGAGATGGAAGATGTTGACTGGAAAGATCCTACTGGTGATTTTTCCAGAATAGGCACAAAGGGATAAGCAGATGTTGGCTAACGATCTCCCCAAATTCTCAGTCTTAATCATTGACAACATGTTCAATAATGCATTGACAGCCTCATGAAAATGTCTGATTAGAGCCATTCTTAGAAATGCTTTTTTCAGGAATTGTGTGGAAAACCTGACAGAAAACACTGCCAGCGTATCTAACTTAGAGGCAGAATTACAAGATGAATTCCTATCTAGGCTTTCACTCAGTATTCCCTCCAAGTTACCACACTAAGGAATGTCAGCGCTGGGGTTCAATGAGGACACACCTGTGCAAGTCCTCCAGGCAACCTGGGTTGCAGCTCCGCCTGAGATAAGCCTCCCATTGGGAAAGAATGAAGACTCAAATCAATGGGTTCCTGACTTCAGCCCTTCACCACAAAGGGAAGAAAACAAAATACCCTGAGTCTGAGAGCCAGAGGTGTGGGAGTTGACTCTGATGATCCAGGCCCATGATAATCATTGTGCATTTAATCATCATCCACTGGGTCTTGCCTGAACTCTGTGGGTACAAAAGACTCTTCCTGGGAAGGCAGAAGATGGAGAAAACCTCACCCGGATGCTCAAGTAGTCTGGCATGAGAAAGAACTTTGAGACTAAACAGGACTGTCAGGCACATGAGGATAAAAGGATCTAGGCTTGCCCAGCAGGGGCTCGGATGGTGAAGGTCACAACCTGCTGCCCCCACCCACCCACCCACGTACACAGTTCTGTGGGCAAAAGTCCAAGCAAAATCTCTTTGGAAGCATTGCTTTTAGAGGATCCAGGGTCTAATCCAACCACTCCTGTCAGGGGACGTTCAACTTTAAGGGATCCAATGTTTTCTTCCTTTGTGTGCCATTTCTCAGGGATTCTGCTCCTTATCAGCTCCTGGAAAGCAGGAACCGGCAGAGCTGCACACAGTTCTCAGGACCAAGATCGTGGAAAAGGGCACCTGCTTGCATTCCCTTCCGTGACTCCTCAGTGACCTTGTACTTAAAGGGCTATCCGTATTGTTGCAACCGGTGAAATTGCATTCTTTTTAATGGCTGAGTAATCATTTTATTGAAGATATATAAGCATATGTTTCTGCAAATAAAGCACCCTTGTTTCACTCGAGACTTGGTCCCCTGCATTCCTCTTCTCATCGACTCCAGTCCCCAGGTCCCGGTCTACGAAGACCGTGACACACTCCTATATTAGGTTTTGGCAAGGAATGCAAGCAAGAGGAGGGGTTTAAGGACATGTTGCTCTTAACACCGATTCAACCAGGAGTGTTTTCAGTGGGGAGGGAGCACACTCAGAGGCAGGCTCACTCTAGGGTGTGGGAGCCCCAAGAGGTGAAGGAAGGTCAGCAGAAACAATCTTCCTACAAAAAAATAAGGTAAGCAAGAAAGAGAAACTGATCAGAAAACACACTGCTTTAAAGTAATTTTCAGATCTCTATTATAGTACAATTTACTCCCAACAACTCTGAGCCCATTAAGAGCACTTCTATACAGAGAAAAACTAACAAATGATACACATTTATTGCAACAACAAATTGAAGGTTGTCATAATATATGTAACTTAAATACCCCCCCCCCATTGATAAAGTGGCTTTTTATTCCTTAAACACAGACATTCTGCTCTTCACTGTAGAAGACGAAGTTTTCTCATCAAAAGGCACATTCTTATCTTCGAGGATGATTGACATCAAACAACGTGTTGTCATCCTCCTCATCATCTTGCTCTAAAGGTGTCAGTTCCATGTTTTCTATGTTCGTGTCCAAAACCCCATATCTCCTAGTCTTTCGGTTTCTTCTCATCCTGACCGTCCTGACGACGAAGTACACCAGCACCGCGCTGCTCACCACCATCAGCACGGTCAGGGCTGTTGGGAGTAAATTGTACTATAATAGAGATCTGAAAATTAGTTTAAAGCAGTGTGTTTTCTGATCAGTTTCTCTTTCTTGCTTACCTTATTATTGTAAGCTGTTTATGTACTAATCAGTTAATTTTATTTATATATGTATATATATAAATTTTATTTTTTGGCTGGTTAAGTTTTTTTTTTTTCCTGGAACTATAAATCCCAACAACTGGTGTGTAACTTTACCAAGATGTATTTCCCATTTTTGTGGGGAAAAGAAGCCAAATTTATTATCTTGAGTTTGGGTTTTTTAAATAAAAATGTCTGTGTTGTGTGTAAAACAATAAATATGATTTAAAAGTATAAAATGCTCAAAATCAAATGAAAAATGGACTGTTCTAGAGCTTAGAGAAGTGTATTCTTCAAACACTAAATGGAAACAATAAGTCTTTCAGATTGTATTTCTCCCTAAGTACTAAAGAAGTGGGGTATAAACCACTAGAATTACAATAATTTGACATAATAGTCATGCAGGTGTAGAAACCTAACACTTGAGCAGCCATTTTATCCCAGTGAAGGGCTGAGTTGTAGATGTCTTCCTAATATGAATTTTAGGATCTCATGGTCAAGGCAGATCTAATCATAGATCTTTAAACAATGTATATGCATCTTATAGCAGATTTTAAACAAACGAGATGAGTAAAATGATCCTTAGAATCCAATGAAAATGTTAATTATCAGAGTTGTAAAACTGTTGTCAGGTGCAACTGGTAAGGAGAAGGAACACTTAATCTAAAGAATATCGTGGAGGAGAGGAAAAGCCAGCATCATAAGATGTTGGGACTTGAGCTATGGAGTCATCGTAGCCTTACTCCACAGGTACCGAGCCCATCCCACTTTCTCTTAAAGGAGAACTTAGGAGATCTGACTTTCTACTGGAGTCAGGGGGTAGCAGAGGCTAGGCATGTTCCATGCTGCATTCTCTGTGCCTATTTGTCTTTCGGCACAACCTGGAGGACAGCAACATGCCTGGCAAGCTCCTAATTCAACTCATTTTTCAGTCCACGGATTTTCCCAAAGTCTCAGAAGGCTGCTCAGCCTTGGACATACAGAGCATTTCCCATTTCAGCCAACCCTGACAGGAGTTCCGTTGATAGGAGGTGAGAGGGGGTTGTTGTTTCGGCTCATCTCAGTTTTTATTTATCTAGAAGTATTTTGTTTTTGAAGAATGTATTGGTTAGCTAAATAATTCTTAAAAGTCTTCATTTTCAATATGTGGTTGTAATGCCTTCCAGTCTCTGGTGTCTCTGAGATGTCAGCTGTCAATCTTATTGAGGCTCCTTTATATGTGATGGGCTGCTTTGCCCTTGATGCTTCCAAAGTTTTGTCTTTAAACATCCAGCCCACTTTCCCATCTTTGACCAGGCTAGATGTGGTACAGGACAGGAGACCCAGCACGGGAAAATTTGGCCCTTGAATTGATGCTCCCGTCAATTCATATCTAGCTTATCCCTTCACAGAAAAGGGTCAGAAAAGCTGGCAGGAATAAACATGAGCTCAAGCAGGCTGGACTGGCTCTGCTGACCACTCCTGTAGGAGAGGAGGCACATTATTCTCAAGGGAATAAGCAGGTGGCGGTAGCAGGCGAGGTGGGACAGAAACAGGGTCTTGCTTGCATGCCCCGCCCTTGTGACCCTTTAGGTAAGTCTTCAGTGAGACAGTTTGAGATCGAGTGTGACTCAGTTTGCTGCTCTGTATTTCTGAGCGAAGAATGAAATTCTGAATGCAAGTGAGGAGTCAGTTTCAACCTCAGACATCTTGTCCCTTGCTGAAGAGCAACCTTAATCCCTTGTGATGAAAACTCTGCAGGCTGAATTGATCTGCCTCCCTCTGGGAGAACAGAACACCCCAGAAGCACAATGATCGTGGGACCAAGAAGATCTACTATGCCTGCTACTTCTCAGTGGAAGCATTTCTGGTTCATGGGGCTTCAGTGAACTTAATTAAGCCCAGCATCATAGTGTCATGGTGACAGGAACAGTTTCAGAACCACCTGCTCCATGAGTCTTGGATTGGTCCCCTGCCTTCTCAGAGACAGTGATGTCACCAACCTGAGGCATTGTCCCTAGTCTGCCTGGAACAACCCTATTTCTGCAAAAGGCATCCATTTAAAAAATTTTTACAGAGGAGACCTAATGACAAAAACGTTCTGCATTCAGTCCTTTGCTTCCTGGGTGTGAATGCATGATGCTGCCCTGTGAAACATCACTGCCTCCTCAGAGCAGAGCCAAGTGTTTCAGAACCCAAGACAGGGCCTTGAGGTAACCGTAGGTTGGAGAGCCAACCTCTCCCAGAGAGGCTGTATGGCAAGAAACATCACCTTGACCATGCCGAGGATTCTAGATGAGAAAGAACCCATAGAGGGAGAGGAATAAGGGTATCAGGTAGACAAGAACAAACAATTAGATTCTATCCAGTAGGGTCTCAAGATGAGCAACACATCCCGTACACTCAGGACCTGTGATCAGAAGTCAAAGAAAAATAGTTTTGCAAGGATTTTCTCCAATAATACCAGCAGAGTGGAATAAGCACCTCCAGAGAGGCAGAGTAAGAATCTCTAAAGACCTTTCTTACATGAAAGCCATGAGCACAGTGACAAAGTTGTCAGAGATCGTTTTGCCAGTACTCCAGAAGTTAACCAGAGGCTTGCAACAATCCAAAAATTTATTCCAGGGGGGAAGAAAAACATATAGCTAATCATTACTAAGAACAGTTGGCATTTTGGCATTCTAAGTTGCCTTATTCCAATCTTCTCCCCAGTTCCAGAGTGGATTTTAAAATCAACCTCACAACCAGACTAGCTGCAGAAAAATGTCAGCTTCTCAGCCATTGTAGAGGCAAATTGAGTTTGGATCTTCATAAAAATCCCTTGCCCTTGAAATCAGGACAGTTTGAGCCATTGAGCACTCCCCAGTAAAAGTTCTATTTCCGGAATTGGCATTAGTTGGCCTTACTTAGAGCTGGATCACTGAAAACAGCACTATTCCCAAAGTGCTTATAAAAAGAAAATTGTTTGATCCATTTGGTAATGTTATCTCTATATTAATACACAAGAGGCTGATAGAAAAAACTTCAAAAGAAAGGAGCTGTTCACAGGGGATCTTTGAAAAAATGTCCAGCATATTTCTGGTACTTTAGAAGGCCACACATAGGTGCGTGGCTGTGCACACACTAAAAGAAGATCAAAGGAAACCCTCCTCCTCTTACTCCTTGCTGACCTGAAAGCTCCCACAGTGACGAGTAAAAACTAAGACAGTTACAACTGCCAGAGAATTAAAGCTATGCCCCGCATATACAGCCCCTCATCCACAACTGGATGACTTGTTGATCCAAAGCATTTAAGGAAATAGCAGTCTCCTCATTAGATGATTAAGATAACAGTTCAATGGCTGGATGTACAGAATTAAGACCTTGTGTCATTAGTCAGAGAAGCTGAGAAAACTCCCAGGAAAACCAACCCTGGTGGTAAGGGAATATGATCTCCAAAGATGCCCATCATCTCCAGACCTGCCCATCATTTGAAACATCCAAGTGAACAAATTTGAGGCATACAAAAAACAATCCCATACACAAGGGAAAATGTCAGTAGACACTGTCTCGAGGAAATCCAGATTTGTACTTATTTTTTAAAAATCTTAAATGAGACACAGATGTATAGAACAGATTTTGGACTGTGGGAGAAGGCGAGGGTGGGATGATCTGAGAGAATAGCATTGAAACATGTATATTATCAAGTGTGAAACAGATCACCAGTCCAGGTTTGATTAATGAGACAAGTGCTCAGGGCTGGTGCACTAGGATGACCCAGAGGGATGGGATGGGGAACACATGTAAATCCATGGCCGATTCATATCAATGTATGGCAAAACCACACAATATTGTAAAGTAATTAGCCTCCAACTAATATAAATAAAAAAAAATCTTAAATGAGCTATTTTAAATACCTTCTAAGAGGTAAAAGAAGTCACGTGAAAACAACAAGTATGAGAACATCTCAAGTAGACAACATCAATAGAAGTAATTTTTAATGAGCCATATACAAATTCTGGAGTTGAAAAGTACAACAACAAAGTCACTTGAGGGACTCACTGGCAGGTATAAGCTGGTGAAAGAATGACTAGCAAACTTGAAGACAAGCTGAATGAGGTTATAGTCTGGGAAAGTAAGAAATTAACACAGCTTCAGGCACCTATTAAATATACCATTAATAGCTTATATATAACGGTAATCTGAGGAGGAGAAGACTATTTGAAGAAATGACTCTAAACTTCCCAAGTTGACCAAACATGGCACAGCTGAGAAGTTCACAATTGAACCAAGAAGTTCAATCAACCTCAAAATTGGACTCATAGTACAACTGTTTAAAGACACAGCCTCAAAAACAGCAAGTGAGAAGCAGTGCATTAATTACAAGGGAGCTCCCATAAGGTTAATGCCCATCTCTCAGACCACAGATACAAGGCGGGCATTAGACCCACAGGTCCAAAACACTAAGGACTTTCAAAAGCAAGAATCCTTTATGTAATGAAACTGTCCTTCATAAATGAATTAACACATTTCCAGATAAATAAAACCATAGCTGAGGTGGCAATCCCTTTTCCCATGTTCCCATTCTTGGCTGGACCAGTCGTGGCACAGGACAGGGCAGAATTCAAGACCCCACGTTTTCCCTACAATAGCTTCTTTTCACACTCCCAGCATGGGATAACTTGGCCCTTGAATTGAAGGCTGTTCAATCTTAGCTTATTCCTTCAGAGCAATGAATGCCAGAGAAACAGAATAAGCATGAGCTCAAGCAGGTTGGGTGGGCTCTACTGACCACTCCTGCAGGAGAGGCGGCATATTCTTCTCTCAATGGAGGAACAAATGGTGGTAGGGGAGGTAGGGTCCCTTCAGTAAAACGGAGCCACTTAAACACATTGGCACTTGCTTGAACTCGTCAAGCATCTGAACCTGGGTTA